GGGACGCTCAAGAGGGCCAGGGCCTCTCGAGGCGCTCAGGAGAGGCAGCGCGCCCTGGCAGGCCGAAAGGGCTTGAAAGGCAGCGGCGTTCGTGTGCAGCCAAGACACTGAAATAAGGAGCAGCTTGGATGCGGAAGGGGCTCGATGTTCCTGGCGTCCTTCCGCGGTTGTTCCTCGAGCCCTTCTCGTGCACCCAGGCTTTTCTGAAGTCACAGAGGGGCTTCGTTCCTTATTTAGCGTTCCTTACTTTCAGCAGCCCGACTGCACCCGCTCCCCGGCTGCCTTCCCCGCCCATGCCGACTCACATTCTCTTGGTTTGCCGTGCCTTAGCTGCCTCGAGGCTGCCCCCGCCCAGCCCGGGCCCCGAAGGCCGATGTTCGGCGGCGAGCGAAGGGGAGGAAAGTGAGAGGGATAATCAGGAGAGAAAAAAACACAGACACAATTAATCGTCGATTCCCCGGAAAATATAGGAAAATATGGGAAGTCGGGGGGGAAACAAAAACCCAGAAAATATGGCAAAAATATGGGGAATCCTTTTATGTGTGCTTGTGTGTATTAATTTGTGTGTCCCAGGGCCCCTTCAGAGAAGGCCTTTTCAGAAGGCTCGGGCCAGACGAAAGGGGGGGGATGGGGACAGGGGGCGGTTACGACATCTGCTGCATGCAGCCGGTTTCAGCCCCACTGAGGGGCCCATTCCTCGATACATGGCCGCCTCCGACACCGGGAGGCGCCGGGAAAGGCAGCTACGTGAGCTGATTCTCACCCCCCCCCCTTTGCTATCCCCCTCTTTCGCCCGGCCCGAGAGAAGGCCTTTTCGGAAGGCGGCTTCTGAGACGCCCTCGCGCCTTCTGGGAAGCTTGTTTGCGTCTTCGGGGAAGGCTTGGGACACTTCTCCGAAGACCGGAGGACGCCCGGGCCTTCTGAGAAGGCCCGCCCCTTGTGACGTCGCCCCCTCGCTCGCCCTCGAGATGTGGTCTCGCTGTGGTGGCTCCAGCTTTACGTCGGGCCCGTCCCCCTGCAGGAGGAATGTTCAAAAGTAGTCAAACGAAATAGTCAGGGGACGATGCCTGAACTGTTTTTGGATATCTTTGCGTTTGCTTTGTTGTTTTTCCCCACATCCAAAGTGGGGTTCTTGTTTTCTCTGGACACCCCGCGCAGGAACAGGAACACACACACACACCCACTCACACTCACTCACACTCTCTCATCATCAACCTCATCAGCATCATCGATGATGCTCTCTCACATGCTTAGTCACTCACATACTCATCATCATCATCATCACGTCCCCTTCTCTCACTCTCACAGAAACCATCATCATCATCATCATCATGGCCATCGGCAATCGTCATCATCCTTCGATCAAACAAATCTCATCGCCGGATGTATGGTCCAATCAATCATCAGCCTCCTCACCACTCTTCTCCACAGCACCACTCATCATCCTCATCCTCATCATCGTTGAGTAAATTGTGAGGAAGTCTCAGGCGGGAGCCCCCTCCCTATGGGGCCCGCAGATCATGTTGGTAATCCGAGCGTGTCATCGGAACCTTGTAACTGTCGTCACTTTTGGGCTCCTCAGGCCCGAAAATGGAGGAAGTCTCAGGCGGGAGCCTCGTCTGTGAGTGAATTGGGAGGAAGTCTCAGGCGGGAGCTCCCTCCCCATGGGGCCCGCAGATCATGTTGGTAATCCGAGCGGGTCATCGGAACCCTGTAACTGTCGTCACTTTTGGGCTCCTCAAGCCTGAATATGGAGGAAGTCTCAGGCGAGGGCGGTCAGTGAGTGAATTTGAGGGCGGGAGCCCCCTCCCTATGGGGCCCGCAGATCATGTTGGTAATCCGAGCGGGTCATCGGAACCCTGTAACTGTCGTCACTTTTGGGCTCCTCAAGCCTGAATTTGGAGGAAGTCTCAGGCGGGAGCCTCGTCTCTGAGTGAATTGTGAGAAAGGCTCAGGCGGGAACCCCCTCCCTATGGGGCCCGCAGATCATGTTGGTAATCCGAGCGGGTCATCGGAACCCTGTAACTGTCGTCACTTTTGGGCTCCTCAAGCCTGAATATGGAGAAAGTCTCAGGCGGGAGCCTCGTCTGTGAGTGAACTGCGAGGAAATCTCAGGCGGTAGCCCCCTCCCTATGGGGCCCGCAGATCATGTTGGTAATCCGAGCGGGTCATCCAAAACCTGTAACTGTCGTCAATTTTGGGTTCTCGCGCTGCCAGAACGCAGCTCCCAGGCCACATTTTGGACGCAACAAGGAAGTTTTTGGGCTCCTCAGGTCGCCGAGGTGCTGCGACAGGGCGCCGAAGGCGCCGACGACGACGGCCAGGCCGAGGCGCGGGCGCGGAGCTTGCTGATGTTCAGGCCCAGCGAAAAGGAGTTCACATGGCAGAGCTCGGGGGCGCACAGCGTGCGCCGCTCGGGGTTCGCCCTGACGCACGCGTCCTACCTGACCTCCACGCAGTCGCAGGGCCAGACGCTGCGCAAGGGCGTCGCCATCGACTGCGCGAGAGACGAGGACGCTGGCCGCACGGGCATGTCGGACGAGCAGTGGTGGCTGCACCTCTACGTCATGTTCTCCCGCGCCACGTGCATGCGGAACATGCTGATCCTGCGGCCGCCGCCGCGAGAGTTCCTGCAGCGCGGGCCGCCGTCGTCCCTGCGGAAGGCGCTCCTGGAGTTCGACAAGAGAGCGGTTTTGTCCAGGGCGGAGGCGAAGCAGCTCGCGGCAGAGCTGGGCTTCGTGCTGCCTTCCGCCTGAGCGCGGCTGCGCCTCGCTCGAAGCCCGCGGGGTTGTCCCAACGGCTTGGTCTTGCGCGCCAACGGCTCGCGGGGTTGTCCCGACAGCCTGCCCGCGGGGTTGTCCCAACGGCTGCGCGACGTGACCAATAGAGAACGCGCCTGTGCTGGCCGTGGCGGCGACGGCGCCGAGGAACATCGACACGCGCGCTCATGCAACAGGAAGGGGAGGAGGTGGCGGGGCGCGGAACAAACAGGGGGGCGAGGATGGGGACAACGTAAGGAGTGGAAGGGGGGCCCGCGCCAAGGCGAGAGGAAATATACGCAGAAGAGACAGCCAGGACGCCTCACCAACCACGAGGACGACGGTGATGGCTTTTTCCAGATTCGCCCAGAGGATTCTTATGTGGGGTTTTTCCGTCGGAGTAATTTTTCTCCTCCAAATCCTGCCTGTAGGGGGCTCCAGTCGGAAACTGGAACGTGTACATTACCAGTGGCGGGCTGCTTTCCAATTCCAGGACTTTCTTGAGGGAGGGTCAGGGACGACGTCGGGGTGGTACGGTGTATACCTTTTTCCCCGTTCCCCGGGGAAACAACGAAAAATGTATACACCAGGGCCCCCGATGCACCAGGATCCGCTGTCCTGTGCGAGTTCCA